TAATAAACATTGTATCTTGAGTGTAAAATATAAAGAATTCTTACAACTCAACAAAAAGAAGACAAATCAATAAGAAAATGGACAAAAGATGTCAACAGAGGCTTCACCAAATAAAGTATATGAATGGCAAACAAACACATAAAAAGATGTCCAATATCATTAGTATTAGCAAAATGCAAATAAAAACCACAGTGAGATATCAGTAAACACTCATTATAATGACAAATTTTGAAGGACTTATAATAGCAAGTGCTGGTGAGGATATGGAGCAACTGAAACTATCATACATCTCTTGTGGGAATGCACGGTAGAACAGCCACTTGAGAAATCAGTCTGTCAGTTTCTTATAATGTTAAATATACACTTACCATGTTCCAGTAATATCTCTCTTATTTATTTACACAAGAAAAAGGAATCAGGTATCCACACATAGACTTGTACTCAAATGCATAACAGCTTTCCTCTTAACAAATATAATGTATCGATGTAACTGGAGTCTACCAAAATGTCCATCAACTGCTGAGTGGATCAACAAATGTGTGTCTATATCTAGATGAATCTAAAAAATAAAGTCAGATACAGAAGACTACTTACTATAATATACCATTTTTATGAAATTATAGAAAAGCCAAAACTATAGTGACAGAAAAGCAGACCATAGAATGGTAACTTAAAGCAATATTTCATGTAAAATTACAAACATTTTCCAGTGCTAGAGAAAAAAGGGCTTTCTCCTACATTTATGGTGGGATTATGAATTGCAAGCCAGTTTGGGGTCAATCTGTATTTAATATAATAAATCTAAAAATGTCTATCTGAGTCAGCAATTCTCCTGAGATTTTAAGGATATAGTTAATGATCTGTATTCAAGCAAATTTATATAAGCAAAAAATTTAATAATATCCAAAATGGCCAAAATGAAACATCGTTAAATAAATGAGGGTAAATCCATTAAATGGAATAGCATAGAGTGACATAAAATGTTGTAAGCATTGATTATAAATTGTCTACAAATAAAATCTCAATAAAACCATAAGAGTAGATATTTTAAGATCACATTCTTTGATTAAAAATTATAGAAAACTGGAAACATAACCAAAATAGAAATAATGCTATCATACAATTATCTTACAAACTTTGTCCTCAACAAACAGGAAATAAAAAATGCAATTTAAAGATGTTAAATGCCGATTTACATATATAAAAACCTATGGAACCTAGCCAAAGATATATATATATATATATATATATATAGAGAGAGAGAGAGAGAGAGAGAGAGAAATATTCATGGTTTTAAATATTTTATTAACGCAAAAACAAAATAAGAAAATAAAACATTCATTTCAGAAAATTAGAAAAGGAAAAACTAAATAAAAGACAGCAATAGAATAGCAGCAAAGATAAAATTTAATATTAGAAAAAGACCCAGGAAATGAAACAGATATGCAGTAAGGAGCAGAGAAGACAACAGAAATTCTGGTTCTAGTAATTTCCTGAGTTCTCATTGTCACCTCGCCTTGGGTAATGTGAAATAATCCTGTATCTTAAAAAAAAAAAAAAAAAAAAATCACTTTTCTGTTTCACACAAACTTGAGTTGATATGTAAATAGCCTTAATAACTGTTGAGTTAGGATACCAAATCCAGAAAGTATAAAGTATAAGACTGAAATATTTGGTTACATAGACATTTTTAACTTGAGCCAGTAAAATATCTACACATAATGTTTAAAATGTATAAATGTATAAATATGATTGAAATGCAAATAACAAAATGAATATATATATTCAATGAATATATTTCAGTATAAATATATATATATCCACAAGATACACAGAACTGATAAAAGTTTACTGTCTTTACTGTACAAAAAGTCATGAATAAAAAACGTCTCTATATAATAGATGAGCCAACATCATAAACAGAAAACTGTGTGAGTAAAACTACACATGGGTAATAAGCCTATTAAAATATAGTAACTCTAACTGACATGTAAAAATCAAATAATGCCAACAAGCTACTTCTTGTCTCCCAGCTTGTGAAAGATTAAAAATACTAGCAATACTATGCTGTGGGGAAGCTGTGGAAATTGGGAACTCTAATGCAAAATGCTGTTGGTAGAAATTTAAATTGGGACACACTTTCTGCTAGTGTACACATATTTTTTGTTGACTCAACAATTCTCCTTCTCAGAATTTATCTCAAGGAAATCCTAGAAAGGTTAGCAAGGTTGAACATAAAAGGAGTATCACCACATCATGGGTACAACAGTGGAAAGCTGGAAACAACCTCAATGTCCACCAAAAAGGGTTTGTAGAAATAATTTGTGGTTGGTTTGTACAATGGTAAACGTGATCTATTGACATGAAAGGATTGCCATGGCAATTTGTTGAAATTTTTATGAAGCAGATTATAAAATAGAACATAGAGTAGGACTCGGTTTTATTATAAATGTGTGCATGATGCTACACCAGATGTTTGTCTCCTCTGAAACTCATATTGGTGAGTTTCAGTGTGGCAGTATGGAAAGTTGCCACTTTTATGAGGCAATGGAGTTATGAGGGCCCTGCCCTCATGAGTGTATTAATTCTTTCATGGACTAATGGATTAATGGACCAATGGGTTTTCTCCGGAGTGGGACTGGTGGCTTTATAAGAAGAGTAAGAGAGACCTGAGCTAGCACTGTCAGCCCACTTGCTTTCTGGCCACCATGATGCCCTGTGCCACCTCAGGACTCAGAGTCCTCACTAGCATGAAGGCCCTCACCAGATGTAGCCCCTTGGCCTTGGACTCCTCAGCCTTTAGAACCATAAGAAATACATTTCTGTTCTTTATAAATCACCCAGCCTCGGGTATTCAGTTATAGCAGCAGGAAGCTAAGACATAAAGCTATCGGTGTGAAAGTCTTTGCCCAACTATGAACACAATTACTTCTTCTAGGATAAATTATTTATTATATCTACTTTCTTCTTTATTCTTGCCAGTTCCATTTGAATACATTTTTGTAATGGGCCTATGTAATACAAAATACAATAATAAATACAAAATTATTTTCCACACTAGGAATAGGGCCAGAAGAAACTAACTACTGAAATTCTGTCCCACCCTTTAGAAGTGTGGTTAAAATTAATAGACTTAAATGGAAAAAACAGTAAGTTTTCCAATAATATACATGTTTTGAGGATGTAGGAAAGTGTGTACCTTCACTGTATTAAGGGCATGGCGGGTGACTGGTATCTTTTTCTAATGAGCAGCTGGGCAATGTGTAGCAACAGCTTCAGTAACATTCACAGACTGACTCACTTCTAGAAGTCTAAGCTAGGAAATAATCAGAGATATGAACAAAGGTTCATGCATGAGGATGTTCATGCATTGCTCTTCCTTAATCATAATTTTGAAATAGAAACAACATAAGTGTCCATAGTAGTAGAGTATGTGTGTACGTATCTCCAATAATTTATTGAACAAATGTTTGCTGAGTGTCTTCTCTGGGCCAGGCTCTTTGAGAGTCCCTGGAATCCAGTGGTACATAAAACAAACATGTCCACCTCCTAGAGCATGTCATCTAGTCACAATAACGGAAAAGACAGATGATCAGCTAATTCCACAAATAAGTTAGGTGTTAATAAAGAAAAGTAGGCCGGGTGCGGTGGCTCAAGCCTGTAATCCCAGCACTTTGGGAGGCCGAGACGGGCGGATCACGACGTCAGGAGTTCGAGACCATCCTGGCTAACACGGTGAAACCCTGTCTCTACTAAAAAATACAAAAAACTAGCCGGGCGAGGTGGTGGACGCCTGTAGTCCCAGCTACTCAGGAGGCTGAGGCAGGAGAATGGCGTAAAAACCCGGGAGGCGGAGCTTGCAATTAGCTGAGATCCGGCCACTGCACTCCAGCCTGGGCGACACAGCAAGACTCCGTCTCAAAAAAAAAAATAAAAAATAAAAAATAAAAAAATAATAAAGAAAAGTAGAGGATGAAGTAATTGCGGTTTTGGCCATTAAAAGTAAATGCAATTTTCAATGGCAAAAAGCGCAATTACATTTGCACCAACTTAATATGCTATTACTAAATAATCAAAGAATACAGTAAAAAGTGGTATGGAAAACATGCTATGAATGAAATGATCTTTTAGCCAAATGGGAGAGTTTTTCTAAAGTCCAGAAATGACCATTTATAAACTATTTACCACTCAACAGAGTGGATACAGATATAATGACCGAAAGCAAGAACGTTCAGAACCACCTCTATAAGAGTACTAAAAAGTGATAAAGATGAAACTTCTCAAGATATAATTTAAATAATACACAAATATGATCCAATTTGAAAGAGGAAGTTTGAAAGCCATACCTCTCTGATACAAAGTCTAAAATAGAGAGCTATAAAACATAAGGAGGTGTAAGCTTTTCTCTTTCCACTCCACAGTATACTCGACAAAAGGCTTACCCTCCTTAGGATTTCCTCTTGGAACAATTATAAGAGTCAGCTCACCAGTGAGTAAAGAAACTGAGCAATGCATAGCAACAACTTCAGAAAAATCCACAGACTTTATCAAACTTCTAGAAGTCTAAGCAAGGAAATAAGTGGAGCTATGAATAAAGGTTTATGCCTAAAGATATTTGTGTGTTCTTTCTCAGTCATAATTGTGAAGTTGAAACAACATAAATGTCCACAATAGAGAAGTATATGTTTACATATTTCCAATAATTCTTGGAGAAGTTGGGATTTCATGGTTGTTGTCTGCTAGACTCAGCAACACTTTGGGATTACAGATCCTCCACACCCTATTATTTAGGAATTCTACTCCTGTCATGATATGGTAGGCTAAACTTGCTTCCATGACACTTGGCCAAGGATTATAAATTAATTGTGTGATTGAGGAAGTCCCTGGGAAGACCATACCCACCCCTTGTTCATGCTGGTTGGCTGTAACCATAGCAGCCTCTTACTCCAGACCAAAGTTCAGCTACTGTAAATTTTATGACCATGTTCAGAGTTCAATGTCCATTAGCATAACCCTTCCTTAGGAAGAGTGAGATTTTATATTTGACAACAAAGTGTTACACTCTATTTCTAAGTACTAGACTTCAAATGATAAGGTCCAAAAGTATTATAAGAAGATATTCATTTTTTTGTCCTAGAGAACTTATTTTCCTGTGAAAATGCCTACCACAAAGAAGACATTGATGTTCTTATCAAGCTTTTTCACCAGCCTTGGGTCTTTCATTGTAATTTGCTCGATTCTTGGGACACAAGCATGGATCACCAGTACAATTGCTGTTAGAGACTCTGCTTCAAATGGGAGCATTTTCATCACTTATGGACTTTTTCGTGGGGAAAGTAGTCAAGAATTGAGTCACGGACTTGCAGAACCAAACAAAAACTTTGCAGGTAAATGATAAACTAATTTGAATGGATATCATGAGATTGAATTCAGGTTTATGTCATTCTATATTTGGGCCAAATAACCATTCAAAAATAATTTCTTTGTAAGTTTTGGGTTAGGCTGACGATGCAAGTCTAATAATACAAGATAATTTTGGAAATTTGCCATGCCATTATTTGAGCTTCCTCAGTTCTGCTTGTGTCTATTAGTACAATAGTCTAAATCATTCCAGCAGTGGTGATATTTAAATAACACCTACCAAGTTGATTGACAAGTAAATAAGTAAAAATATGTGACAGCAATATGGCATTGAATAGCCAGTAGGAATGCATGTTTTAACTGTATTGACTGGGTTTTTAGTTGGACCCACAACCTCTGTCTAGAATTTCACAAGTGGCATCTATGCAGGAAAGAGTAAAATGGGAAATTAATTATCTCTGTTTCTCAAGTTCATTTCTTTAACCGATTTGAATTTACCTCCAAAATATCTAATCGTTGGGAATTATATTAAATTTCCATTAATTTATTAATTGTATATTTGATAGGAATTCCTAAACTTTTTATTTCCTGATTTCTTATATAATAATGCCATCCTCTCAATGGAAGAATATTAAAAGTTCATTGAGAATAATAAGTTGATTTAGCTACTTATTTGGCTTTTGAAGTTTGATACCTACCTTCATGTTTTCTAAATTTAAAAACATTTGTAAGTTATGTAACACATTAAATGGACTTTGTTTTGAACAAAGTTGTATGCTAGTATTATACAGACATTACTGGGTATCATACAATCATTACCTTTTGACTCATAAATATGCATCATTTTCTACCCTATACACATGTAATGTTTAGTCCTTGTGTAATGCAAAAAGAAGTTTGAGTCCTGGACACTAGCTGTAGGTTCTAGCTCTAGTGTGTTTATGACTTTGTTAATGAAACTATTTTCTTAAATCCAAAGCAGCCTGGTTGTGTTCCCAAGTTATACATTTGTCATTTAGATGTTAGCAAAAGCAGCGTCTCCCCGGGCATTGCCAGAGCCTTTCAGGGACATCTCCTCTGGTGTCAACCTCAGCTTCCCATAAGGATGGGGAACATTGGCTTTCCAGCAACTTTCAAAGACTCAGTCATGCTTTCAGTTATATGAATAGCATTTTCAAAACCAAAAAGTGTCCTGAAACCTCAGACACATTTAAAAAATTGTAAGAGACAAAACCTACCAGTTTTTTTTGGTTTCCATATGGTGTCTGTTTGGAACCAGTTGATTTCCAATTTGAGATAAATGGCTTCAGAGAAAGCATCAACTATCTCTATGCACGGAGACTCAGAGGAGGCCAGGATGGGTCAGGACCTGGCTCTAAAGCCCTGTGTGCATGCAGGTGAGCATGGTGATGTCAGAGGACCAGAGCAGGCACTCGTCCCTGAAAGGGCCCAGGGCCAGGTAGGTGCGGCAGCCCACGTGAGAGCACAGTGAGGCAGAATATTTGCCTTCCCTTTGCTGGATCTCTACTTTCAGTCTTTGTTACTGAGGAGCCACATTCTGACTTTCCACAAGTCACTGCCCAACCTCCTGGTGCTGCAGAAGGTGAACCGCCACCCAATTAATGAAGGTGCTGCACTGTCACTCTGGTTGACACCTAAGGACCCCTCAGAGCCTAGGGGGTCTTCATTGCCAATGATTGTAATAATCGTTGAGCTTGAACACCTGTAAGCAGTTCTTTCAGACAGGGGAAAGTCATCTTACTGGAACCTTCAACTTGTGGTGTTCAGCTGCTAACAATCCTGGGACGCTTCACCTGGGAGCAGCCCTGCAGTGTGCACAATGAGACATGGGTGCTCTCCTATGGTTTCTCATGGCCACCCGGGGCTTCTTTCAAATCAGAAACCAACCATGGGCAGTAGAATCAAATCTGTATAAATGCCCCTTTCTTGCCCAACAGTGGTGGACTGACCGTTCCAATTGAGAAGTTGACCACATGAGCTTCTTGGCTAGGGCGAGGTCACATCAAGAGTCTCCCAAGAGTAATAATTATTGCAAAGCTCTGCTGTATTTCTGCATGGTATTTATCACATTGAGCCAGTTTTGTCTGTAGATTTTGAAACAAAATAGCAGAAGGAAGCAATGACGGCTGATTTCAAAGTGCCAAAGTAATTCAGCCAACGTTGGTCAATCTGTGGGGAAAATCGTTCTTCAGACCTGGTAAGGAAATTCTCCAGTGTGTAACTTGGAGGGTACAGGCAGCTCAGGCTGACTGGCTGCATCCTGGTTTGCCCAACATCCAGATGAAAAGTGGCAGGTCCTGTATGTCCACCTGTGAGCAGGTTGTCTTTGCTACTCCCAAAGTTCTGGAGATCTGATTTCTGTTCCAAAACACTTCCCTGAGCAGCTGCTGCGTGTATGAGGGGCTCAGGAGACTGAAAGGAATTGCACATGGTTCCTGGCCTTGGAGGGCTCACCATCCAGTGTGAGAGAAAGACCCTTCCTCAGTTAAAATCGGTGCCCTGCACTCACTGCTGGGGCATGGTATGTGCAGGTCTGCATGGAAGCAAGGGTTTGGGGGGAACACATGCCTGCAAAGCCCCGTTGGAGGACAGAATCCTGAAAAATGAGCTGCTAGGAGGTGTAAGCTCACACTGTGGCCACCCACCTCCCTCTCAGTTCTGGATCTTGGGTGCCATGTAAAAGGAAGTCATTCCTTTAACTCTGTGTTTTGCAAATGTGGTTAGGATCCGGAAGCATGGTGTGCTCTGTTTCCTCACACTGGCAATCATGGCAAGATGAGTCATTCACATTTAGGGCATGGAATTCCCGTGAATGTCATTTCAAATATTACTCAGCCTACGCGCTGACCAGAACGTATTGTTTACAGAATCATTTTGACAGGAAAAGTTTCTATGATAGTTTGTTGTTGTTGTTGTTGTTGTTGTTTTGTTTCATCACCCAGGCTGCTTCACACCCAGACTGGAGTGCAGTGGCGCTATCTCGGCTCACTGCAATTTCCACCTCCTGAGTTCAAGCAATTCTCGTGCCTCGGCCTCCCTAGTAGCTGGGGTTATAGGAATGTATACCACGGGTGGCTAAATTTTGTATTTTTAGTAGAGACAGGGTTTCACCATGTTGGCCAGGCTGGTGTCAAACTCCTGACCTCAAGTGATCTTCCCACCTTGGCCTCCCAAAGTGCTGGGATTACAGGCATGAGCCACTGCACCCGGCAAGACTTTTCTTTTCTGAGACAGGGTCTTGCTTTGTCGCCCAGTTTGGAGTGCCGTGGTGCCATCATAGCTCATTGCAGCCTCTACATCCTGGGCTCGAGAGATCCTCCTGCCTCAGCTTCTGGTGTAGCTGGGACCACAGGCAAGCACCACCACACCCAGCCACTTTTCTGATGTTTTGTGGAGACAGCGTGTCACCAGCCCAGGCTGGACTTGATTATGAGAGATATTTCTCCTCTTGTGACATTGCACTCTTTGTTCTCGGTTCCAAGAACAGTCTGATTTGCAGATGTGTGGGACTTTGAGCAGTCACGTTGCCTGCAGCGGAAGGTAGAATCACCTGGGATGCGGGTGAAGCATCCCCACCTGGACCAGATGAATAGCAATCTCCGCGGGGTGAGGCCCTGACCTGCTCGTTTTTTAAAAAATCTTCCCAGGTGATCCTAATTCAGTGTTGACAACAACCAAGGCCAGGCACTAGAGTGACAGGCATTGCTGTACTGGGTATTGCTTTTTAAGTCCTTTGGATGTGGCCTGCTTGAAATTAAATTAATTGATTGGCAAAAAGCTCTAGACAACCTTGCAAAGGAAGCAAGGCCGACTGAGGGAAAGCTCGGCTCCCGGCTGGCCTTTCAGTGCTGCATCCGGGTCAGGACCCACTGCAGCTGGCACGAGTCTCTCCCCACCTGGCACTTCCCCGCCCGCTAGTTCTCTTTTCTCCACCGACCTCCACGTGTTCTCAGGGAGCTCAACATTGCACCATTAGTCCAGGCTAAAAATAATTAGAAAAATAAATCTGCTGCAGAAACTAATGAATTGCAAAGAGAAGAACAAATGAAGTTTATTTCTCCAGAATTCATAAAGAGCCCCCACCTTACTACTCCTGTCCTGTCCGCATAAGGAGAGTCTCCTGGAGAGCAGTGTTCATCCTCTGCCCCGAGGGATGTCACCACACTGGGAGGGGAGAGTATAGAGGACAAAAAGGGTGCCCGCCCAGGCTCAGGCTCATCCTCTGCCCCGAGGGATGTCACCACACCGGGAGGGGAGAGTATAGAGGACAAACAGGGTGCCCGCCCAGGCTCAGGCCACTTCTCCCCAAGGAACCCTGGCAACTTTCTGAGAGGCTGGGGCACCAGCCTGGGCTCCCTGGGAGAGCTACCAGGTCACACTTGGAGATCTGTTGATAGAACGAGCTCCTCCCTCAGGTACTGGGAGCTGCCCTGTTCAGGCTCCCTGGTGACCAGGTGTTTATGGAGGGAGTCACGGTAATTCCCACCCATCCACTCACAAAGCCATGGGCTCTCCCTTGATGTCCGAGGACTTACCGAGAACCAGAACTCAAAAGGCAGATGGCCAGTGGGGCCTGAAGGGTTACATTTCCCTGCGTGGGGAGCCCGGATGTCCGGACGGCTCTCAGCGGCACCCATTATCCACTGCCCAGCAGCACGCTTCTGCCTCCCAGCTGCGGGATCTGCGGGTCAGGCGCTCTCCTCTGTGGCCACGTTGTTCTTGGCTGTTTCCTGGGACAATTAGCGCCACCTGTGAGGTGGCTTTCCTGATTCACACGCTTGCCCCCTAAAAGGAAGAAAAAGAACGGAATGTGTTTGCTAATTTTACAGGCAGAGAGCAGCTGTCAGATGCTATGTAAGTTTATTGTCATTTCATTCTTGATGACTTTCCCTGAATTTTCAGCTTTTATTGTCTAAGTTCTGAGCCAGGAGCTGGAGGGGAGATACAGCTGTCAGACCTGTGTGGCAGGAAATTCAGAAAGCCGGAAAATAATTTCAAAATCCAGCAGTTAGAATCAAGATGAATTGTCACCTTAAAATGCAGAAAATATGAGTCAACAGGCCCCAAATGACTCCCTTTGGAAAAGTCACATCATTAGACCTTACCAAAAGTCACAAACAAAGCTAAATTCAATTGTCACTTTCTAATTTACTCTGAAAAAAAAAAAAAAAATGGAATGTGAACCATTTACCAATGAATATCCAAAAACCGCTTTTACGAAGTGTGTGAAGCAGAAAAATACTGCAAGCCACTTCAGGGGCCTTGGACACAGCTTTTTAAATTTTTTAATTTTAATTTTTGTTTTAACAGTGAAGTTTCTATTTTCTAGTTAAGTAACCAAATTACTTCTTACTGGTTACCAAACTTTGCTAAGGAGTGAGTTCATTTAGTCCCCAGCAAACTTTGGGATAGACCTCGGAGTTTCCCCTTTAGCGTCCAGGAGGAGCTGGCGAGTGTGGGATGGGAAGCGATTCCCCTTATGGTGACTCAGCAGTGACTAAGCTGCAGCCTCTGACCTGTGCCCCTGAACAGGTGTGTCCTACGTGCTGTAGTTTTATTCCTCCTCTCTTCCGGTGTCATCCTCTATTACTTTCAAAACAAGTGTGTGCTAAATTGTAGCAATATGAATCCCGCATCCGCTGCACCTCCACAGTGAGCAATAGGCAGAGGCAAGAGACGTCACCTGAGGTCAGGGATGGGAACCATCCCAGCCCAGGTGGCCACATCCCACTCACCCAGAAGGCAGGCCCAGCGGGTCCCACCCATCCCCACCCAGGCAGCAGGCAGTGGCTGGTGTGACCCATGCCCCGCTAGAGCTCTTTCCTGGGATGCATAGCCCAAGACTATGCTGAGAATTTCAACGTGTTCTATGAGTTATTAGCAGAAATTTCAAAATAGTCCAGTCATCATTGAGCTCAAGTAGGCTGTACCTGTGCGAGCTGGACTTTGCTCACAGTCCCCAGTTCCACTTGAGGAGCAGAATGTTCCCTTGCCACGGTGGTGAAGCCATCATCCTCATGCCACTGAGCTGAGGTTTGCCCGGTCATCTCCTGGTCTGCTCACTTCTCCCATGGGTTTTCAAGGGACATGCGGCCATGCCAACCACTGTGAGGCATATCCACCTTGCCCTCCTCCTGCCCTTTTCTCTCTCCTGCCCTTTTCTTTCCTGCACTTTCTCACTCTCCCTTGCAGCCAGGGCCCTTGGGTTACCTGTCACTGCTGCTTCTGGGGCTTCTCCCACTCCTGGTCTAGGAGGCTCTACCCTGAGACCAGCACCACTTGGGATGCCCGCGCTCTCTGGATGAGGGTCTTTACCACAGGACCCTTTTGCCAGCAGCCCCTGAGGCTGTGTCTCAGGCACCTGGTTGCAAGCTGCCGGCCACATCTCCTTCATGCCTACTGTCTGTTCAGCGGGAGGAAACTTTTCTTCCTTGTAGAACACTGCTGATTAAAAAGCCAAGAAAGAAAACGATAGTGAACGGATAGAATTAAGAGGTTCAAAAATGGAGTGAGGATATCCTCCTGTCCAAGGGGAGTGTCGGGTCTCACTGGGAGCCCCGTGTCTATCTGGCCACGTGTGGTGGCTCATGCCTGTAATCCCAGCACTTTGGGAGGCCAAGGAGGGAGGATCACTTCAGCTCAGGAACTGGAGACCAGCCTGGGCAACATAGTGAGATCCTGTCCCTACAAAAAATTGTTTAAAAGGCTGGCCATGGTGGCTCACGCCTGTAATCCCAGCACTTTGGTAGGCCAAGGCGGGCAGATCACCTGATAGTGGGAGTTGGAGACCAGCCTGACCAACATGGAGAAACCCCATCTCTCCTAAAAATACAAAATTAGCCGGGCGTGGGGGCACATGCCTATAATCCCAGCTACTTGGAAGGCTGAGGAAGGACAATCGCTTGAACCCGGGAGGCAGAGGTTGGGGTGAACCGAGATCATGCCATTGCACTCCAGCCTGGGCAATAAGAGCAAAACTCCAACTCAAAAAGAAAAAATTTTAAAAAATTAGCTGAGCGTGGTTGTGGTGGCACATCCTGTAGTTCCAGCTACCCCGGAAGCTGAGGCAGGAGGATTCTTTGTTTGAACTTGGGAGATCAAGACTGCAGTGAGCGATGATCTTGCCACTGCACTCCAGTCTGGGTGACACAGCAAGACCCTGTCTCCAAAAAAAGAAGAAAAAAAGAGAAAGAGAAATAGAGTCAGAATAAAGTATGTGTAGCGGGCCAGGCTGTCAGGGACTCTGCAGTCACACCCAACAAAGAATACTCCAGAGACATGGGCTGTTAATCATGTTGGGATTTATATCCCTCCTCAAATATTTGGACAGGCTGCCAGGCAGGAAAGGAGCAAGTGAATTTTGTATGATTCCCAAAGGAGAATTAGGACCCCTGGGTTTAAGTTGTGGAAATGCAGATTTGGGCTCAGCATAAAGAGGAATTTTTCAATCATTACGGTGATGCGGGGAGGGAAAGGGGAGGGGACTTGGTGGCCCCTCCCATGGGTGCCCACAGCACCCTGGGGTCTCCCACCTCCCATGCCTGTTCTCTGAATTCTTTGTGACACTCTGGTTCCATTAGGAACTCCTTGACCTTCGATCTGTGGGCATACGCTGAGGGAATACCACCCCTAGGCCCAGGAAACAGAGATCCTCCTGGCCTTTTCGCTTTCTGTTCTTTCAAGCTGCTCCAGATAATGATGTGAGGTCTCCAAGGCTCTCTCCCTGGAGATCAGAGAAACCAGCACGGAAAGAAAGAGACTTTCACTTGTTTTGACCCACCTGTTCCCAGTGATGTTGCTGTGGCCTTACTGTGACTCAGAACTTTCTCCCAAATCACTTTCTCCCATGTCCTGGTGACTTTCGTGGAACGTCCCTGTAAACACTGTTTAATGTACTGGCCTCCTCCACAGGGCCTCACGCACCCTGACAGCCCGTGGCTGGGCTGGGCTTACATGTAAGTGCACCCCTGTGGTGCCTGGGCCTTGCATCCTCCACAAAAGAGCAGGTGGAGGATATGGCTGGTGGGGGTCAGAAGCCTGCAAAACCAGGAACCCAGGACTGACAGCCAGGGCACCTTTGCTTCATTTTATGAGTGTCCTTCTATGCCTGGAGCTACTCTGCACTTAAGAAATATGTACTTTTCATGCAATGCTGTTAGGATTCAGAAGAGTTCTCCTTGGAAAGCAGAGTCAAGGCTTACTCACGGGCAAATTCCCAACCGCCTCCAGCATTGGAGCCCTGTGGGCATCTGGTCCTCTCTGTCTCCAGGAAAGTGGAGTCTGAAGTAGGACTCACACCTCAATTTGCACTAACAGAAGTCAATTTCCTATGTCAGCCTTCAGCTTCCACTTTCCTGGTCACCTTTCTTAGCTTTTTCTCTGCTGATGCCACCCCTGACTCATGGAATTACCCCAGACACCACAGGGCTTATGGGATTCTCAGAGTGCACAAGTTTTCAGGGTGACCCGTCCTGTGAGTGCCTCCAAGTGGAAGCCGAGTTAGTGCTTAGAGCAACAGGGCCACTGATGAAACTGTGAAAAGCACCTTGGCAAGGACGGAGCCTGAGCTCATAGTGGGAAGGCTAGCCAGCCCTGCTGCCAGTATCCAGGAAGGCAAACTCTCTCCTAAGGGACTTCAAAACCAGGCTCAATATCCAGTTATCTGTAGTGTCGCGGTTATACCCATCCAACCACTGATTCAACAAGCAGCCTCCTGTGGGGAATGCAGGTCTTATTCTTGCATGACTTGGAGGTTCGTGATATCTCTACTGACATCCAACAACTGCTAACTCAAGTACCTAAGAGGGTAGGGTGGGGAGGAATGCCAGCCCAGAGCTGGTATTTGCATTATGTGCTATGCACTCACAAAACATTATTTTAGTTTTAGGGATACTGAATAATTCTTCCCAAAAAACTCTGCATTTGGTGACTATCCTGTTCCTGGTCCTGAGTTTGCTCACGTCGCTCCTGAGCTCCGGGTTTACCTTCTACAACAGCATCAGCAACCCTTACCAGACGTTCCTGGGGCCGATGGGGGTGTACACCTGGAACGGGCTCAGCGGTGAGTGGCCCTGTGAGACCCGGTGCTCTGCAGAGGACCGCATCCCTCTTGTCCCCGTGTCTCCACCTCTCACACACGCATGAACATACAGTCACGTTTACACCAAGGAAACTATGAGGACCTCCCATGAGCTAAGGGCTGGGGTTTATTTTGTCAATCCAAAGTGTTTATGAAGCATCTCTGGAAATATAATTCTGTTTTAAATACACTATTGAGGAGACTTATAACAAGCCAGCCTTTGCTTTTGAGACTCTAACAGAAGAAGTCAAAATGCACAAAAGTCAACAAAATATTGACCGGGCTCCTGCCATGTGCTTAACTCCAAACTAGGCTCTGTGTGGCATATAGAAGCACACACATGTGCATACACATACACATGCACACACACACACATGTGCATACCCACACACACATTAACACACTGGCACACTCTTCCTTCTCTTTCCTCTTCCACATGACAAGAGTCCACTTAGTCTCCACACATGACACCTCTGCATGCTTGTGCCACAGAGCCACAGATAATGGAACATAAGAGAATCTGGGGGCAATACCTTTCTTGTGGGCTACCTGTGAGCCTGGGGTGTGGCTGGGTGGTGTTGCTTGGTTATTTTCTTTGTTTCATGGGTGTGGTGCTGGGAGGATGGAGCCCAGATGGGAAGTGGGTCCCAGCTTTGACTCACAGTCTTTTGGCTTTCACTGGGTTTTGCCAGGGCTCTGCGGCTGCCCATCTGCCCAGAGCAGGGCCGGGGAAGTGCCTCTGCCCTGCTCAGCTGCCTTCAGGGCCTTGCTCCCCCCGGGCAGCCAGGTTTCCCCTGTTCTTTCCCTCTCTCCATCATTGCAACTGGACCTTGGGAATGAAGCCTGTCCTAAGGAAATGATTTCTGAGGTGGCTTCACAGAAGCTTCAGGTGACACATTTTAACACAGGCCTGAAATTTTCAAGCACAAGAAGGAGGCTCTGGATATCAGACATGTCAGGAAGCCTGAAAGGAGGGGCTGAGAGCAGCACCATCCTGTCCCTCCATTGGGTGTCATCCTTACCACGAGGCAGGCGCAGGTGGCTGGAGGAGGCCAGCAGCTCCATGCCATGTAGTAGAGATGTGCTGAGGAGTATGAACAACTGGCTCTCCAGTGGGGAGAAACAAAGAGAGAAAAAAGCCCTGGTGATTGGAATGGTGTAAGCACAGCCACGTGACCGTTTTCAAACTCCCAATGTGAGATCACTGATGTGGAGTTGAGATGTAAAAACCGGCCCCAGCGCAGCACAGGTAGGATGGTGAGGGATGCTTTTTAAAATGGAAAAGCATTAAGCCAGGACTACAGGTGGGCTGGGTTGCATTACATAATCACACCCCAGCTCCAAGGATTTGGGGTCAGGCTGGTTTAACCACATTCATATATGACTGGCTCTTTCTTTCTGTGCTTGTATTGCTTGGTGGTAAAAACAAATAAATCCCCCAATTTAAAGGGCAGCCACTATGGATGAGGCACAACAGTCCTATAGAATGAATATCACTGCTTCTCTTTCTTAGAGCAGAGCTGAGTGTCAGAGGTTAAGGGACTTTGTTACAAAATCAGATATACTCACCTGAATGCCAGAGTCCTTTGCCCAAGCTACTTGCATGATGATGGTTCACCCCTGCCAACCAAAACCAAAGGTAAACCAATTGGTACCCATGGCCAGGGCAAAGAGATAGATTATTTTTACTTTTGCTGATGTAACTAAGAAAGCACGAGAAGCAGTGACTTCAGACACAGCTCGAGTTAGGGTCTTGGCCCGTGTCATGAGGACTGTTTCCTGCCATTGCTCCATCTATCAGAATCCTCGGTGTTGACTCCATCATTCATTAATTGGCTGGATCAATCCTCTTGAAGATAAGATGACTGCTGGCCACTCTGGGCTCATTGCTGATGGTGGCAGCCCCAGGAGAAAAAAACTTCTCATTTCCTTCAAATTCAAAGAAAGTCCTGGGCTACTTTGCACTGGCATTGCCCTTCTCCCATCCCTTGACCAATCTCTGTGGCCAGCAGGGTTGAATTCCCCAAGCCATCCACTGATTGACTAAGGCTACCTGCCCATCCTGGAGCTGGGGCTGGAGTCGGCCCTTCCCCAGCCACAGGGGTGAGTGGGAAAGGAAGACTGCGTTCCTGGAGGGAAAACAGGTGCCAGGGCCAGAGTGGAGGGCCAGGTGTGGCGCCGGCCAAACCACAGGGGCCCAGCATTGCTGTGTCTGCAGCCTGCAGGGTTCAAAGTCTGCCACCTCTTCCATAGGCTGTGGCTTCCACATCTTTGCTCCTCCACAGTGGAGTATGGGCTGGCTTTGCATATAGCAGAGGCCTCATGCATGTTTGGGAATAAAAACAGGGGCCAGACAGCCTCCCTGCAGCCCTGCCTACTCCTATCCACAAAGAATTATTGGATAGAGAGGGAATTCCTGCCACCTTCCTTTCCTGGCTCAGGGGCAAGTTCTCACACACAGAGGGAGGCTGTGAGGTGGGCAGAAAGCAGCCCGAGAGGTTGATGTGGAAGGAGCAGATTGCGTTCTGCTGCCTGCCTAGGAGAAGGCCTCGCACAGCTTGGCTTCCTCTAAATGCCCCTTGAGGCTTCTTGACCCTAATGCTTTGATAGGCCTGACTTTTGCCCAAAGTAACCCTTTGAGGGCCCTGATTTTCTTCACAGGAGCTTTGAGGGTTGGAGAACTTACTGAAACTCTCAGTTTCAAGGAGGCTCAGCCTGCAGAAGGGTTTGTGTGCAGAGATGCCTTAATTCTTGCCTTGGGTCATGGCTGTGGGAGAGCACGATCAGACTGACCTCTGGGAGTCCTGGGGCCAGAAGGAATTGCTCCAAACCCCTAGGGGCTGGATTTGAACAACCTCTGCTTAGCCAGCAGATGTTGGGTAGGGAAGGAAGTGGGTTTGCTGGCTTGTTTCTGATAGAAAGAAGCAGTTTCTGCTTTGAGGAGACAAATAGCAGTCTCACTTCCTAGGTTCCCGTGACCTCTGACCTCAGCCTACCCTCTGCACCACACTGACCTGATGAGGCTGCATCCTGACCTCAGGGGATAAAATTGTCGACTGAGAGAAGCTTGGAGCCAGAGAGAACTTTGCAGACCGCCTGTTCCAAATACATTTGTGTCTCAACTGGGGAACCCAGAGAGCAGAAAGGGATCAGTAGGTCACGGGGCCCGAGGGTCACAGACCAGGACAGAAGCCAGGCGTGAGCCTTCCGAAGCTCCTCATCTACCCCGGGGCTTCCTCCAGCCCCTATAAGTCCTTCTGTCCCAGAGGCTGGAGAAGCCTGGCAGGTAGAGGCTCTGGGCATCTCGTCACTAAAGGGGACTCAGGTTGGCATTTTGCATCTGTGTGTCAGCCCCTCCCGATTCAAATCAAAGTTCTAGGCAGCCCACTCTGGAAAAAAGCATTTAGCCTATATTCATCCTGCCCCTTTATGATTAAGCTTTTATAAGAAACTTCACAAGAGGAAAATGAAAGATAATTAAGGCCGTGAGGCACCCGGAGAGCTTCAGAGGGCCAGGGCTTTTGTTCGGACAAATTATTGAGAAATAAAACCATTATGTTGAGGATGAAGGTCTGTCATCAAGGAGCGTTTAAAACATTCACCTCATACAAAGCCCCTCTAATTAAGGCCTTTTGAAGGACCGTTTGGAAGGTTTCCCTAGGTGTGGGTTATAGCAGGATACATTTGATGTCCACTGAGTTCCGGGTACGTGGCGGCAGACAGAGTCTCAAAGGGCTTCTGTGGCCAGGATCCCCTGGCGGCCCCCTCTGCACATCAAACCTCACTGGGTGAGCCTACTCACCGGCCTCATCACAGGCCCTGGAACATAGGCATCCTTATCCTCCACAACCTTTCTTTTAACAGCTTTATTGACACATGAGTCACACACCATATAATTCACCCATTAAAGTATACAATTTCATGGTTTTTTGTATGTTCTCAGACATGTGCAAGCCTCACCACTGCCAATTTTAGAATCTTTTGATCATCTTGAAAAGAAACCCCATGCCCGTTAGCTATCACCCCCTCCCAGCCCACTTCCAGCCCTAGGCAACTGCAAAAGCCCTAATCTACATTTTTTTGTTTGTTTCTATCTCATCCCCTTTGGAAGATGAGGAATGAGACTCAGAAAGGCTACATGACTCGTCCAAGTTCACCTAGCTAGGATTTGCAATCCTGTTCTCTCTGACTGCAGAACTACGTGCTTTTAACTAGACAAAAATGGCTCTCCCAAGTCTGTACTGAAGCATATTCTTTAAGGCCAGGCACAGTGGTTCACACTCAGCACTTTTGCAGGCAGAGGCAGGTGGATCACTTGAGTCCGGGAGTTCAAGACTAGCCTGAGCAATACAGAAAAAGCTGATCTCCACAAAAAATTAGCCAAGCATAGTGGCATGTGCCTGTAGTCAGCTAGTCAGGAGGCTGAGGTGGTAGGATCAATGGAGCCCAAGAGGTGGAGGTTCAGTAAGCTGAGATCATGCCACTGCACTTCAGAGCCCAGGGGACAGTGAGACCCCATCTCAAAACAAACAAAAAAGCATGTTTTCTAGTGAAGGATATTGTGAAGAATAAAAAAGGGAAGACAGAAACGTACAATAAGTTCTCTTCTCTAATGAGTTTTGTAAGGAGATCCCTCCTGATTAGACACTCTTGCCAGTGGCATCATATGCCATGAGATTCAAGCTCCTGGGATGGCATTTTTGTGGCTCGCAGGGCAGCCCAGTCTCGGTACCCCGTTCTTAGGACCCTGGGACCTCTCCCCAGCAGCTGAGCTTGTATCTCACAGTCCCAGATGCTTCAGGCCCACTGCCCACCCAGGGTCTTTGTTGAGGCAGCTTCGTCCATCTGTGATGCCCTGTCCTTCCTCAGCTCTTCCCAGACCTCCTTATACAGCTTCTTTCTGAACTGTCCTATTCACTCATTCATTCAGCACACTACTACTGCATTCACCACCTAGGAAGTGCACTGTTTGGTAGACCAGTTGCACAACTACTTCTGAAAGCGTTTGAGTCAGCATGTTTGCTGTTGGTCATACACAGCCCTGCACAATCTTTAGTGTTCTATGCCTAGACATCTACTTTGTGTCTTACAATTTTGTATCTTCTCCCTAGTGCTTAAAAGAGTGTAAACTCCCGTGCAGATACTCAATACATACCCACAGATATGTGTTCCGTAAAGATAAGTGACATTAAAAACTGTATCACTATGCCATGCATGAAACTCCATCTTCTTTGCAGCATCCTCCGTTTTTGTGACCATGATACTGTTTGTGGCGAACACACAGTCCAACCTTCTCTCTGAAGAGTTGTTCCACATGCTTTACCCGACAACCGCCAGTAAAGGAACGACCCACAGTTACGGATACTCGTTCTGGCTCATACTGCTCATCATTCTTCTAAATATAGTCACTGTAACCATCATCATTTTCTACCAGAAGGCCAGATACCAGCGGAAGCAGGAGCAGAGAAAACCGATGGAATATGCTCCAAGGGACGGAATTTTATTCTGAATTCTCTTTCACCTCATTTTGGCATTGCCTCTGTTTTACATCAGCCCTGAGTAGTAACTGGTCAGCTTCTCTGGACAATTCAGCATGGTAACGTGACTGTCATTGATGACAGTGTTTGTGTTTCGTGACACTGTATTCTTCATTGATGCTGTACTCCTGAAAAGTTTCTCCCACAAGGTTGGGGAAAATGAATGGGAAATATAGCCCGTCTGTGTGGCTTTCAAAGCAGTAGCATCATGACGAGCGTAACGACCCTTCTGACCTGGTCTCACGATCTGAAATAATAAAAGGTTGTATCATGTTTCTTTTCTTTGAGTATCTCAAAGCACTTCAGCTCCTATGATCTCATTCCCCTCAGGAGGGACCAGGTATTTTTATTCTACTCTATACATGAAGACTTCTGAGAACAGAGGGTTTCAGAACTCACCTTTCCAGGACCAAGTGCTGGAGGCAAAGAGAGACTTTGGAGTAAATGACTTGGTTCTCTGGACCCTCAGTTGCTGGCATATTCAAACCCAATGGTGGGTAAACGTGATTATATGTGATCCTCAAACACATTTTTGAGATTCCAAGATGGGGTTTGGGTCAGAAAGAGAATAGAAATGAGAAGATCAAAGAGAAAAATGATAGCCCTGTGGTCTATATGGTAAAGAGGCTAAACATTATATTTTTGGTTTAATAGGATTGTGGTGAATTCAGTCAAAATGGAAATGAAACATTGCAGCAAGTTCTAGCAACCACCATGTCAACCAACAGCCTTAGTTTCTGTGGTGTAGACCCGGGTGTGGCAGGTCTGATGGAAGTGTGTCATCCATCAGCAGGCTCCTGCCCAGCTAGAGACTGAGGGAGAAATGGGTTGGAACACCGTGGCTTGCAGGCATTCATTCCTTGAGTCAGAGACAGGGCAAACGTGGAATGCGGGCATGGGGTAGGGTAGCCCTTTGAGAACAGATTGGGTGGTTCCTGGTTTCATGAGAAGCCAGTGGGCAACCAGGAAAATTTTTTAAAGGCAACAGAATGGATCTGACCTTCTTTCCGGTAGACTATTTTCCCAGAAAATCACTTTGAGAATCTTTTGCGCTTGACTAGTTCACAAGTTAGCCAGGATGAACACTGATAGGGTTCTGAAATGATCACCTTGCATGTCTTGATGGGACTAGGGCCAAAAGGAGCAGAATTTCCTGGGTGTGATTTGCAGAGCAGCATCTCTTTGGGCAGAAGAATATCTCATTTATGAAGCTACCAGGGATTAATGACCTTCTTACTCATTATTTTTTAACACTGTCTTAGAAAGAATATTTTTCATTTAAGAAATACACACAGGATACCTGCGATGTGGCTAGCACAGTGCTAATCAGGGTGTCTGCCCCCATAGAGCTACTGTTGGACAGTTAAGACAGCTATTCAGAAAGCAATTGCTAAACTCCATTTAAAAGAGGTATTTAGTCACAAATTGTGCTCATTCGTTGAAAGGTCGGTTCTCTGTCACATTCTGCCCTAAAGTCCTACTTATTCAAAGTTACTCTTAATATTAAATTTGAATGTATTTGTAAAAATCTGATCAACAGTGAGCATTTTCTAAATTCTTTGGATCTAGAAACACATTCTTTGAAAGCTTGCATTTTATATCAGATTTTAATAATGTGAACAAGCAATGAAGAGGAAACAGCTATAGATAACAAACCCGCAGAAACAATTGCTAAATAGGCACTCACATCGTGTGTTTGTGTGAATGATTGTGTATCGTGGAGACAGCACTGCATTTATTCACCTCAGCATTGGAGCAGAGCTCGGTTTCCTTAGGGGGAAACATGTTCTTAGTACTTATATCACAAATGACCTTTAAAACGTGGGAAGCAGGTAAATGGAACTCTATTTCACAATTTGGGAGACGAAGAGAACGGTTTCCTTTATGTGTTTTAAGGCAGAAGATAATGAAACTACACATTCAAAGTCTGTAGAAATGGCTTTAATGCTATTCACAAGCACAGGTGGGTGTGCGTTTCACAAGCACAGGTGGGTGTGCGGAAGGGTGAACACCTCCGTGCCTCAGCCTACAAGATGGGTGGATGGCATAGTGAGGCAACAATTCATTAGACAATGAATAGTAATTTGCTGTTTTAAAATGACTTAATAAATGGACATTGTTTTACATTTGGTGAATGGATTTGCCTGAAGCACTATTTTGAAGGGGTCTGAACTAGTCATATTATGACCCTTGAAACATTGTATGACTCTAATGAAGCCACATGGTCTTGTTATGATGATCTGGGTTACAAGGTTTATCCATATTTGCAAAATAAGTAAGTTGTGTAAAATACATGCTCTTCATGTAGTCTATGATGATAACTTTAGAGAAATCAATACTTTGTTGTCAAACTGGGCTCAGCCAGTGAGTTAGTGTTTGCAAAGCACTGGGGTACAGGAGGGAACCTCCAGGTGAGCTTTGCTTTTGTCATTATAATTGTGTCTGATCATCTCAACAAACCCTGTGGGTTAGGCAGGATGGGAGCATTGCGTCCTTGGATATGATATTTCTCAGGGTCCGCCTAGTGATCCTGCAGCCTGCCTCACATGGCCATGCACTAGTGATGCCCTTGTATGCTGCCGGTGGAGTCGCAGGTACGTGCCAGCAGCTTCGTGCCTTTTGAGGCTGCTCAGCCTCTTGGAGGGCCTGGGACCCTGCAGATTCTGCAAAGGGCAGCAGGTGCTAAGCAGAGTTGGCGCTCCTTCCCCACCCCTGCCTACCCAGCAACCCTCTTTCTCTTACACTGGAACCGGTCATTCAGGGTAGACTCACAGCAGGTTTCTGGTTGACTAATCTGTTGCCTTTCTACAACCCAGACAACAGGCAAGATGTGTAGGGGGCAGGGATGGCTCAGAGTCAGGGGTCCTCTGACCCTGAAATTCCAGTGTAGAGAGAAGCTGGGGTCCCTTGGTCCCTGCGCCCCTCTGGACTCTTCAGACCCAGCACTCAGAACTTTCAGGGGCCTCAGGCAGATAAAGTCGTCAGCCAGTGGTGCAGAGGATGGATCCCTCATAACAATTGACCAGCTCTCTAGCCCTGGTCCTCATCCCCTTAGACGCCTCTGCCTCCCAGGACTTGAGAACATTCGTAGGCTGCTCTGACATCCCACAGACAGCGGTGAGAACCCAGCAGTCACTGCCTACTTCTGAGCTCATCTTTCCTCATGAAAAATAAATAAATAAACGAATGAGTAAGATAATCAACAATCAGTGCAGGATGAAGCTGGGAAGTTCTGGGGTCACGCCGCCTAGGATCTGCTACTCACGACTCAGAGAAGTGACTTCATCTCAGTCAGCCTCATTCTAATCATCCATGCAATGGGATCACAAGAGCTGGTTTAGCTTGCAGGCCTGTTGTGAGTGAGCCTTAATAAGGAGCTCTGTGCCCTTGACAGCTCAGGGTGGCCCCCTCTTTCACAGACCCATAAGTCCCTAGAACACAGTAGAAACTGTGGGTGGGACCCATGTCACCACCCTTAGCCACTGCAGGCCACACTCATTCTGCTGTCCTATAAACAAACAAGTAAAAAACAAACGACTTCGGCCCAGAGGGGTTAGTAGACCTGCCCAGGAACTCAAGCCGACAAGTGGCAGAGCCAAATGGAAACAGGTCTCCAAGTCCTTTCTTTCTGTGTTTGATTCATTTCCATAATTTGTGTGTATCAGGCCAATGAGAGGTGCTTGGGTGGAGTCAGGAAGGGAAGGAAGGGTGGACCCTGGTCCCGGAACTGTGTCCAGGTGGGAAGTGTGGCATTCCTGGTGTGCCCCAGAGGAGGTAAGGACTCACATCACCCCGTTTGTGGGTCTCATGGTGGGTCTTCTTTATTCAGAAGGAAAAGAGGCAGCTGGCTCAGGCAAAGGCATCCAATGTGTTTCATATGAACCCTTAGGTGAGCTTGGGTGCTGACCCCAGTGGGAGATGGTGGCGTCTGCATGGCCCTCCACACCTACCCAGAGGGGGACTTTGTGATTCTTCAAATAGAAGATAAAGCACTGCTGGTGACCAGGGCGCTGGTTTACTAGAGCTGCACTGGAGAAGGGCCTGAGGTGTAAGGGATGTCTGTGAAACCTGAATGCCCCATGCGGGGTGGCAGTGAGGACGCCGTGGATACACAGGTACTATTTTCCCCGCTGTTAGGGCCGCCAATTCTGTGTTTGTTATGCTCTTGCTGACATATGTCCTCACGCTGCCCAAAGACCCTGAAAAATAAAGACAGTACTGGTTAGAATTTCAGACAATGTCCTAGTTTAAAAGAAAAAAGGAATTTGTTTTAGTGACAGGTTTCAGACCATGAAAGTTTCATTTTCAAAATGTTCAAATGTTTAGTAAAAAGGGAAAATTGAGGAAGAAATGAATTATATTTTATGACTATTCATTTTAGAAAAATCACTGTCAGAAAGAACACCCCTCCTGCTTCTCACTCCCCTCCCGCCAAGTGGCAGGGGGGCGTTTCATTTCGTCCTGGCCCTTGGTTTCGTCCTGGCCCGCGGAATGCCCTGCGCCTCTGGCTCTCTTGGAGCACGCCACTTTGGCACCACGTTCAACTCCCGTAAGTCACTGTTCCCATAGGGGGAAGCTTCTCCTTTTCTTACTCAGTGTAGGGACATGGTGGAGCCTCCCAGCGTCCCCCAGAAGAGAGTGGGGGTCCAAGTGGGGGTCCCAGTCCTTAAGGCTGTCTCAGCAGCAGAGACCACAGCCACAGGTGCCAGGCCTCGGGGGTGTGCCTGCCCCAAACCCTGCAAACAGGAGATTGTGTTGAATCCTCACAGCAAAAGCGTGTGTTGTTTTATAGTTAACCCCATCTGATAGATGAGCCACTAAGGCTGGGGTTGGCAAAGTGGTGACCCCACCATGCCACAACCAAGGAGGGGCTGAGCAGAGATTCTGATGCAGATTTACCCGCCAATGTCTCATTGAGGCACACCTGGGATCTGTAGCCTGGCAGCGGCCCTGTGTGTGTATAAAAGGGTTGTATAGTCTGAAGTGCACATCCCAGCAGTAGACCTTGGCCTCCCTCTGCTGGCCCCAGGCCCGTCTCATTTTGAGTAACCCAGTGTGCAGGACTCTTGTGGCAAACATTGACCTTTTGACTACAAATGTAACCATTTTCACTGATCACTACATGCTGACCAGTATCTTTCCTGTCTTCCTATATAGGTCCTGGTCTTAAGATCAATGAACCTTTTCCTTCCGCCAGGCTGGCAGATGGGAGGCATCGTTAGTTAACCCGCCTCTCCCACTTGGAAAGACAAAATAGTGTGTAGAGTCACGCTGTGAACTCTTCTCCAAGAGCAACACGTGAACTTAACAGAAACAGAAAGAAACCATAGTCCCTTTGAAAGAAGTGGCGGGCAGCAGCCTATTCTGTGAAGCAGATGGAAGACTGAGTCTCCAGAGCATGAGGGGAGAGACAGCCACTGGGACGCTCACTCCCACGGGGAGCTGCAACCCTCAGAAGCCTGTGACCCTGCCCAGCACTGGAGCTGAGTTAGTGAATGGTGGGGAGAACAGAGGAGGGAGCAGCATCGGGACAGGCTTTGTGGGCACTCCCAGGCTCCAGTGGCGATGGAGGGAAGCCATTCCTGATCCCATCCCACAGGGGACCTTGTGGAAGTCTGCCAGCCGACCGGGTGGTGGTGACAGGGGGAGAGAAGCTTCCAACTGAGCTTCGCCACATAATCTCGAGTAGGGACAAACCCCATTGGCTTGAACCCGGGGGAAGTGGGAAGTGTGCTATGGCCACGGGTGCAGGAGCTGGCACCCCTGCTTCCTGGGTGGCCCTGGAGGGGTGAGGCATGAAAGCCAGGTTTCTGTCTCTATCAGGAAGGCTCATGGCCTGGGCGGTTTTGAGTTCTGAGAGCAGGCTGCCTGGAACCCAGCTCGCTGCTGCTGGCCGAACCCTACGGATGTGAGGCCGCCTTACCAAGTGTGTGGGAGCTGAGTGGGACTGACTGCCACCTGCTCCTCCCCACTCCCCATGCGGATTTTTCTGTGCAGCAGCGGCAGCCACACTCATCTCTGGAACACTATCCCAGCAGCCAGAGAACTGCCCTCTAATCTCCCACTGAGGACACTGCTTGTGCCTGCATGTAGGGAGCCAGAGCATGGACTTACCTGACCTAGCCTGACCCGCTTTGCCCCTTCACCTGCCCTAGTAAACACAAGGGACAGGGATGTTTGGGAGTTCCGGGGCCCCACCCATTGCCTGAGACACCAGAGTACCTCCCGTGGGTAACATGAGGCAAGCACCAACCCCATCGCTACCACCTCAGCTGGTGATCTTTTGCAAATGCCACCTCCTGGCTGGTGGTCAGCCGACATCATCCATTACAGCATCTGCAGGCACAATACCATATTACTCAGGAAGAAGAAAACTTCCGTGCAAACTCGACAACTGCCATTGCCTGCATCACCCTGGCTAACCAGATGTCAAGTCTTTCCATGTGCCTAGCACGTTACTACTATTGTTGGCTTTGAAAAAGCCAACACGCTAAAGCTATTTATAATCAAGAAAATCTCAGAGTCTGTGTCTCTCCCCTGCCACCCCCATCAGAGCTGGTGCTGGTACCCGCTGCTGGGAGACTAGACAAGTCATATCACTGGATCCCTTGTAGATATCCCTAGCACCAGCCTGGAATGTGGCAGCCCCACTGGGTGGCTAGACCCAGAGGAGCAGCAGCATTCACAGTAGTCTGGCCCTCAGGGGCTGCTACTCCTAGGGGAAGTAGGAGTGCACACATTAAGGGAGCACCCTGTGAGACAAAGGAATTCAGAAAGCAGATCTTGGGTGCCAGAACTTTCCACGGGTGGGAAGTTTCTTTCAGCAGAGGCACAGGTGCAGTGCTGGGTTTGGTGGGGAAAGTCTGTTGCTCTACCCAAGTAGTCAGGCAGCCCTGGTACTCGTGAATGGTCTTGGAGAAGGGGACTTCTTCCATCTCCTGGCCACCACAGCAGAGGTAGTGGGGGCTTCTCCCACAGGAGCTTGGTGTGGGCGTATTAGTTGACAGCCTTTCTGAAACACTTTAGGGTGATTGCATCCTCACAGCATTCCCTTCCAGGATCAGGTTTGCATAGGAGAGATAGAGATTCACAATCCAATCCCTCTCTACATCAGTATTCCTGAC